ATATTTCACCGGTCCGGTACTTTTTCCTCACCCTGTATAATATTGCTTATTATTGTATATGGTATTGTACTGTCATTGTATTAAGCAATTCATAGTAAATCCTTTATACAAAAGCACCAGGACATTTTATCGAAAAACTGTGAATAATGTATACGTCAGAGAGGTAATGTATACGTATGTATACATCAAAACGGTCACTTCTTTGATGTCGTCAAACTAGTCGATTGACATATATATATATATATATAGTAAATGCACACACACACGCGCACGCGCACGCACGCACGCACGCACGCACGCACACATATATTATATTATATGTGTATATGTATATCACATACATGTACTAAAATATATAATCAAAGTATTGAGATTTAGGAGATACGAAATTATTGAAAAATAATTCGCCTTACGCTAAATGACCAAAAGGTTGATAGCGTTTCCGTTTAGGAAGAACAAAAAATATATTTGTTTAATTTCAGTCTTATCAGGTTTGATTTTATGTACGTTGTTTCGACGTTGTTTTGACGTCGTTTCCACCAAACAACTGAAACTTGACAAGTCTCTCTAATAAGATGTTAAAAGTATTCACAACGTTAAACGTAGTAATTTAATACAAAAAATAATGTTCCGAGACTTTTAATTATTTTCGAAAACTGACGGTAGGGACGCAGTTTCGACCCCATTGACGTCGATTCGACGTCGATTTGACTTTAGTGTTCTCACTGGGAGTGAGTCTGACCTTAGTCTTAATATTGAAATTGCTCTTTGGCATGTAGCAGTGACGCGCAACAGGCGTACCAAACGCGAATATCTATGAATTAAGTCCCACTCAGTGCAAGAGTTGGTCCTTGATACAGTAGCAACGGTCATAGACCGCTCCTCAAGATTATCCTTGATGGATTGAGTTGGTAATTCGGATGGCCACGACGTGCAAGGCTGTGAGAGCCACGACGATCCATACCACCAATCCGAAAGATCGGCCAGTTGAGCAGGTGTCATTCCTCTTGTGGCATAATCCGCAGGATTTTGTTTGCTGGGAACGAATTTCCAGATTGCCTGAGGAAGTGTTTCCTGTATGAAACATACCCTGTTATGTACGAATTCCTCCCATCTTGAAGGATGAGCATTGATCCAAGTGAGGGACACTGAGGAGTCAGTCCACAGATATACGGGCAAATTGTGGCCTTGAATCACCCGCTGAACTCGTGACACAAGCCTTGTCAATAGCATCGCACCAGAAAGTTTGAGGCAAGGGATAGTGAGCCGTTTTAAAGGAGCGACCTTAGATTTTGCACATAGCAAATTAGCAGATATGTCTCCGTTAGACGTACAAGACCGTATGTAGACTACCGCAGCCATCGCATGCTGTGAAGCATCGCAGAACTCATGAATCTCCACGGAATCTCCATGTTTGACACCGACCCATCGAGGGATCATGCATCATTTAAAGTTGATTAATGAAATGATTCCACTTGAGAGAGACAGAAGAAGGTAATGGGTCGTCCCAATCAATTTTTATTGACCACAATTCTTGAATAAGAATTTTTGCAGTAATTATAACCGGAGATAGGAAACCGAGGGGATCAAACAACCTTGCGATAGTCGACAGAACAGCGCGCTTCGTTAAGACCTTGGAGGGAGTTAACTTCAAGGTAAAGTTAGACGTATCCGTTGCAGGATGCCAGTTAAGACCAAGAGTGTGCACGGCTTGGTACTCTTCAAAGCTCACCGCAGATGAGCTTACCCTTTTCTCCGTAGGAATGGTGGTAAGTACCTCCGGTTGGTTAGAGATCCATTTGTGCAGAGGGAAACCGCCCGCCATGCAGAGACGGGTTACCTGTTGGACAATCTCTTGAGCCTCTTGTATAGTCAGCTCCTCCAAAAAGATCATCAACGTAACGTCCCCTTTGAAGAACTGGAACGGCAAGAGGGTACTTCTCACCTTCGTCTAAGATGAGCTGTGTCAGTGTCCGGAGAGCTAAGAATGGTGCACAAACTAACCCATATATAACGGTCGTCAATTGAAAGGATCGAATGCAATTCGACTGATCAGTCCATAGAATACGTTGGAAATCCCAATCGTCGGGATGTACCGCTATCTGTCGGAACATCTTTTCTATGTCTGAGGAAAAAACGACCCGGTATTGGCGAAACCAAAGGAGGACATCGAACAAATCAGTCTGCAGTTTCGCTCCCGTATGCAGTTAATCATTTAATGAACAACCAATGTTTGTACGACTCGAACCATTGAAAACCACTCGTATCTTGTTGAGATTGTTATCACGCAAAACTCCATGATGTGGCAAATAATAACCTGGTTGCGGCTCAGGCACTGAGTCCGGGACGAGAGTCATGTGGTGCATCCTCTCATACTCCTCCATGAAATCGCGGTAAGCCTTTGCATAAGTTGGATCAGAGCCCAAACGTTTCGAAAGATTCGTCATCAACCGAACAGCCTTTGCTCGAGAGTCTCCTAAATCGTTGGCCGATTTTCTGAACGGTAGTCGTACCTGATAACGACCTTCCGGTGTACGACTGTGAGTGGATTGGAAGTGAAGTTCGCATTCCTGTTCGTCCGCGGCAAGCGACGAAGTATTTGCAGATGGGATCTCCTCAGTCTCCCAAAATTTATGAATTAGATCATGAAGCGCTCTGTCCATTGAGAGGTGAAAACTATGAATAAGTCGAGAAGACGGAGTTGGTTTTGACGGATCAGAGATGATCCAACCTAATTTGGTTCGTTGGGCGAGTGGAGAATTCACATCCCCTTTCTTTATTCCGTCTTCGATTAGAGATCCGTACACGTCTGCTCCCAATATTATATCGATAGATCCTGGAACCGAGAAATCAGGGTCGGCGTGCAACAGCCCTTTCAAATGAATCCACGACGAGCTATCTGATCGAACAGATGGTAATGAAGTCGTGAGTTTAGGTAATATATGAGCAGAGATGGAGCACTCGAAATCGTCATCAAAATGAGGCTTCAACTTGAAAGAAGCCACCCCTCGTGTTCTGTTAGACTTCTGCGCTCCTATTCCGACCAATGGAATGGTCGATTGTGTCCTGGATAAGCGTAGACATTGCACAAGTCGTTCCGATATTAGTGAAATCTCGGATCCCTGATCAATCAAAGCGCGAGCCTTCGCGAAGTCACCGTGGGGCGTGGCGACGCGGACTTGGGCTGTTGCCAAAAGCACGCAAGGCATAGCCTTGTATCTTGATGCGGAATGTAACACCGTTGCTTCGATGGCGGTTGAGGAGGAAGTAGAGGCGACCGAAGGGTCGTCCTCTATTGACTTCGAACCCGAATTAATCGACTGCTTGTTGGCTTGATGGATGCTAGTGTGATGTTTATGTCCACACTTTAAACATCGTTTTGTGACACGACATGCAGAGGATCGATGAGCTCCGAGACAATTGTAACACAGCTTGTGCTTTGAGATAATGGCAATGCGTTGAGGAACCGACTTTGAACTGTACTGAGGACAATGTGCGATGTAATGCTTCGAAGAGCAGATCGTGCAAGAATTTACTATGGCAGCCTTGCCATCCTTCGATCTACCCTGAAAATGCAATTTAGCAGAGGCTTGATTGGCGGAATTTGCAGATTTCCCTGGGCGGGATTTTTCAAAGGCTTGCAGAGAGAGCAGGCGAGAAATAAAAAAAGTACTGAATTGATCCCAGGTAGGAGGATCTTTCGAAGAACCAAGATGATGCTCCCATGCTTTCACCGATTCCGAATCAAGACGTTGAACAGCCGTGAAAACGAGAACGTCGTCCCAGTATTGTACAGGCCTGTCTAAAGTTTCAAGAGTACGGTATATCTGCATAATGTTGGTATACAGTTGCTCCATTTCGCCGGCCGATTCCTTGTTCATACGCTTCAAGGAGACCAACGAATGGAGGGCAGCGTTAACGAGTAATCGTTTATTTTCGTAAAACGAAATCAAGACGTCCCATGCCTTCTGAAAGTTATCGGCAGTAAGAGTTGTGTTCTTTAAAAGCAGAGCAGCTGATCCGATCAAGCTCGTCTTCAAGTATTGAAGTTTTTCAACAGAAGTGAGTGTAGGATTCAAGAGAACCAACGAGCTAAACAAATCTTTGAAAGATAACCAGTCGGCAGGAGTTCCGTTAAATTTCGGAATATCGATGCGCGGTAAACGCGCATGATGAAAGTATGTTGCATTGCTCGTAGCCTGAGAAGTAGATTGCGTCAAAGATGAATGGGTCGACGGCTCCCGCTCCGACTCGAGAAAAGAGCTCATACGCTCGACGGCTTCGAGATAGCATTCGTGTGTTGATGAGAAAGAATTCCCTGAGAAGTAAGATTGTGCGAGCACAGTCTGCTTATCCCCAGTATTTAATTCGCTTATGGCAAGATTGACAGCTTGATGCTGCAACGAGAACTGCTCCCAAGTTTCTTTTAGGGAAGCGAGACGCGCGTGTATACGTTGTGGCGTAATGTTCGCCTGACCGACCTTCTCTAAGTTATCCGCGGCATTAGAAATCAAATCAATGAGCGTAAGCTGCTGCTCTAAACGCGTTACAATATGATTAAGTCTCATCCTGAAAACCGATCTCCGTATCCGGCTCGAAGGACCAAAATGTTTGAGAAGTAATGAAACCGGAGGTTCCTAGCCGCTAAAGGGGGACCGGAGGCAGGGGGGTTGGTTATCTTAATATATTTTAAAGAGAGCAGCTTACGAAAAGAATACGCAAATATAAATGGTGCAAGAAGACAAACAGTTTAATATGCTGCCAATCTAAACTCGATGGC